ATAAGAAAGATATTCCATTTATGCCTTGTGACATAGAGAAATATAATGAGTATATAAATAATACCCCACACTATGTTTTACAACTTTATAGTTATCTTGTTAACAATCAAAAAGCTGTAGTAACTATTTCAGGTATTAAAGTTTTCTTCAATATTCGTATTCCCAATAATGAGAATACAAAGTTATTTAAGTCCAAGATAAAGGATATTCTTATTAAAGGAAAAGATAATAAAGGAGAAACTGTAGATATGACTGAGCTCTGAATAGAATATATGAAGACTTTTCCGATCAGAAGATATCATCCAGAAAAATTGACATATTTACGTATTATTACAAATATAAAAAAATAAAGATTTATAGCTCTTAATATTATTCTAAAATATAATTCAGAAATTAGAGGTACACATAAGCTGAAAACAGTCTCAAATGATATGAGAGCATATTATCGAAAAGTTGCTAGAGAATATAGGATACCACTTTCTAGATGAGTATTATTAACTAATTATAAATACAATAGTAATGGAATACCTTATAGTACTCGCTCACCACTTTGTGAATATGCATTTTATGTATCTATTAATAATTACCGCTCTATGGAAAATCTCTCAATTTTATACAAAAATTATCCTTCACAACTTCTTACTCGTGATTGAGTATTAGTTCTTATCTGGGATATAGAAACATATTCAATGCTTGGATTAGACCATTTCTTTATGATGAAATATAAAGAGAATAATATATTTATGATTTGTATGACTGTTCACTAGAAAGATGATCCTACCCTGTTAAAACAAATCTGTCTTGTTGATGTGGAAATGGCACTAGATCCAAATTGGATCATGATTATTTGTGAAAATGAAAGGAATCTATTAAAGGTATTTGCTTTATGCTGGCGGGCTTTAGCCCCTGATATTGAACTCACTTTTAATAAATTCAAGTATGACTGGTTATTTATAATGGAAAGAGCTACCTAACTAAAAATTCTAGATTAGATGATGGCAAAGATATCAGCAAACTCACAAAAAAAGGCTACAATCAATTCTATTCTTCATTGGAGTTATTGTAAAGGAGTAGGTGAACCTTTCTATAAAGATTTCTTTTATAAAGAGCAAACATAGGGGTCTTTCAAAAAAGAAAACAAGGATAACAAAAGAATTGGGAAGGGATCAAAATTAAAATTACCCCAGATAAAAATTTTATATCTACTTTTCTCAAGATTTCCAGTTGCGTTCTAATAGATGTGAAAGTATATTGTGAAAAACTTTATCCAAAATCTGAAAAAAAATTACTCAATTATTTCTTAGGGATACATGGTTTTGATAGTAAAATAGATTTACCAATAAAAGTTATGAGAGAATATTATACATGAAGCAAGGAGAATACCTCACTTAAGACCGCTAAAAATATACATAAAATTACTAAATATTGTATTAAAAATGCTTTAAGTTGTCAAGAACTTATAATTAAGAGAAATGTAATAAATAATTACAGAGAGGTGGCCTTAATTGCATATGTTTCTTTATTCAATTCGCATTACTATGCTGGGAGTATGAAGATATGTAATCTATTAGATGCTAAAGCGTGGAAAAGAGATATATTAATTACTTTGATTTCTCCTAAGCAAAAAGAAAAAGGCATGTTCCCTGGGATCTATGTATTTCTACCAGATAAGGGTTTAGAAAATGAACAGCCTGTCACGGGTTTGGATTTCACATCTTTATACCCAAGTATTATAATAAACTATAATCTCTTACCTGAGAAAATGACTCTATCACCCAAAGAAGCAGATAATTTAAAAGAAGTGGGCGAGATTCTTTATAAAATTAAGTTCTCTTTCAATAGCTGAATTTTACATGCATAGTCTATAAAACATGAAAATAAAAATAATAAAATGGGGTTATATCTATTAGTTTTAAAAGAGCTTCTTAATAAATGAAATAAAATAAAGACTCAATTGGGAATACTTAGTAATATAAAAGAGTATATGGAATTAGTAAATAGTAAAATAAAAGAGAAGAATTTGTCAGTGGCCGATGCTATTGATTATACTCTGAAAAATGTGAAAGATAAAGAAAAACATGTCAATATGAATAAAATCTTGATTCCTCTCATTAATGAAACCTATGAGAATTTCATTAAAGAATATGATTTTATCTATTTTGATCACACTTGCTTGGATTTGAAACAAAAAGCAGTAAAAATTTATATAAATATCTTTTATGGAGAAGCAAGAAACAGTTTATCTCCATTCTTCTTTTTAAAATTAGCTGGTAGTATCACATCAGCAGGACAATATAACATTAAACTTGTTGCTGAGTATGTGACTAAGAAGAAAGGTTTTGGAATCAAATATGGGGATACTGATTCTTTATATCTCACCTGTCCCATTAAATGTTATAAAAAATATGATCTTGCTTATAATGATGGTAAAAACACAATTTCGAAATTGGGATATTAGACTAAAATGGTTAAAATAACTATAAAAGTAATGGAGAAATTACGCAATGAAGTGAATACATATCTTAAAATAAAAAGTAGATCAACTTATCTCAAAATAGCTTATGAAAAAGTTCTATTTCCAGTAGTATTTACAAGTAAGAAAAAATATTTCAGAATTGAGCATAAAGATAAGCCAAATTTTGGATCAACAAAAAAACTTTTTATTAGAGGTATCGATACAGTGAAGCAAAATAAGTCCTAACTTTTCAAAACTATAGGAAATCGAATTATGTGGGGTACAATAGATATTAACAATAATCAAATACTCCATAAGATTGTTAAAGAGATTCTTAAAGAGACTATAATCAATTCTAATCAATGGGATTTTGATCAATTTATAGAAACTGATGCATAGAAATCTAATATAGATAATAAACGTGTCCAGTAATTTATAGGACAGATGAAAAAAAAATATAAAAACAAGATTCCTGATCCAGGAGAATGCTTTAGTTATGTAATAGTTTATCCTGATAAAGTTTTTAATTTATCTAATTTTAAACTCATTATAAGAAAGACTGATCAAATGGAATTCGTAGATATTACAAAAGAATTAAATAGAAAATTGGATCTATCCCATTACTTTGAAAATACTATTAATGGACTTTGTGTCCGATTTATTATGTATGATAAAAAATATGAATTACCATCTACTAACAAAATTATGAATATTACTAATTCAGATGATAAATATAAACAGATTGATACATATGTTCAAAATAAGGTCAAGAAGTGACTCGAGTCATATATCAAGAAGATAAATATGATAGATGGAATCACTCCTAAAATAATATCTAATTGTGGATATGCTTACAAACATGCTTATAAGAATGTAATCAAAACTGCGCAATCTATATTATATCAGAAGATAGGTAATACCTACGAGATATTTCATAGAGAATGGCTTAGTTTTGAGGATTTTAAGATAACCAATAATATTGAGAGTAGTGATGGGAGCCGCAACTAGCCGTAACTCTATCACAATTCTCTAATTGGCTACCACAACTCTGTCACAACTCTCTGATTGGCTGCCGCAAGCTGCAACTAGTTGAGAAGCCATCTTTAATCAAGAGATTATGAGAAAAGTTCATAGAGTATGCCAGAGCATATACTGAAAATGATAATCTCTTAATAAGTGAAGGGATAAAAAAATCCATATATTCTGATTTTACAAAATATCTAAATATACTTATCCCAATTATTAAGAAATATAATATTTTCTTTCATAAGTTAGTGTATCATATGCGATATAAAGAGCATATAACAATCCCAGATAAAATTGGCTAACCCAAGACTATGAGAAAAAATGAGATGATTACTGAACAACCTACCTTATCTCATATATTGAAAACAGATCAACTAGCACTTGAGAGTTTTCTAAATACATGGAACAAGACAGTTAGCTCACTATAAATATATCTTTATATTATCATCGTATATATTTTTTTGTACATAAATAATATCCAAGTTCAAATAAATATTCATCTGATCCACATATCCCATCATTGATCACTTTTTTTATGATCTTTTATTTCAAAGAAATGGCTCTTTGAGCCTAAAGTCGCTCCTTCAGGCCTGCAGAGTAATGGCGCTTCGAGCCTACCTATATTCTATGTGCATTTCACAAACTATACAACCACAATAATTAACAGAGCAAGAAAAATATATGTCAATAGTGGTGACATCAAGGTGTGTACCACAATGGGGGGAGGCAAAGTCTCAAGACTAGATCTCATCACTTCTATTTCTTCTATCAGAATTTGAGAATTTGATTCAATCAATAAGAACATATATGCTTTAGCACTAGCTCTATTATTATTTTTTAGCTGTGCAAAGTAAGGAGTTATATTCAGTATTTCTTGAAGTATATTGTTATTAGTTTTGCTAATATTGATTTTATCACTTACCTTGGGAATAATCTCAGTACCATTTTTTGATAGTTTGGTAATCTTACCATTAGTATATGTCAAGATATTATTATCGATTTTTCTAGCTCGATCCATATTTTTTCCACATATAAAATATTTGCTGAGATCACTATTCTTGATTATATTTTTTTCATCATCTTCATCAACTATGAGTTTTGGTATAATCTCCAATTTCAAATGCTCAAGCTCACTAATATTCGAAACTAATTCATTCTTTAGATCTATCAATTCAGACTTGAGAGTCACAATCTCAGATTCTTTTTTCGATGAGTCATTTTGAATAGAAATCACATCTTTCTGAACTGAAGATAACTTACTTTCCAATATCTTAACCATAGACTCAAGTGATTTAATTTTCTTGGATTCATTCTGAGTTGAAGATAGTTTCATTTCTAATATTTTTATCTTAGGCTGGAGATCTTTTATCTTGATTTTAGATTTATTAAGGGAAATATCTTTGCAGGTAATTTGATATATTAAACTATTTATTTCTGAGTTCAATCGCTTAACCTCCTCTATAAGCTGGTAGACCTGCTTGGTAAGTATCTCTTTATCTTTACTAGTTTTATTTAGATCATGTTGCAATTGTACTTTATCCTGTTTAATATTTTTACTAAACTCTGAATATACTTTCTAATAGTTTTTTAAATTCTTAATAAGTTCAGAATTAGTCTTATAACTATCACATAAAACTTCTTCAAGTTCTACCTTCCTAGTACTTCCAAGTCAATATTCTTTTGAGTTAATATCTCGTAATGTACATATATTAGCCATATATTTTTTCTCATATATGTATAATAAAAAATATATTAAATATTTATATCAATAGGTATCAATAGGCATCAATTATTAGATAATAATAGGTAACAATAGATATCAATAGGTATCAATAGGTATTAATAGGTATCAATAGGTATTAATGGGTATTAATATATATGAATACATATATAATACTCATCAATAGATATTAATACGTTTTGAAAAATTATTGAAACTTTTTTTTTTCTAATACATATAAATCTATCTTAAGATACTTATCCATATTCATCAAAATTTTTATCGATCCAATGCAACTTATTTATCTGAGTCTGATATTATAGAAATTAGAGAATCAAGAGGGAAGATACCAAATGCATCAAAAAGAATGGCAAAAAAATTTCATATTAGTGCTCATCGTATTTATAAAATATAGAAGCACAATGAACGTTTACAACAAGATCTTAATTCTTCATCATCTTCTGATAACTCTTCTATTTTAAATGGTTTTAAAAGCAAGAAATCTTCAGCTATTGAGACATTGATTAAAAAAATAAAATCCAAACCTGTTCATATTTTGAATCAACCTTCTATTAATAAAAATTTAACCAGAAAGTCAAGTGCAATATCATTAGAAGTAAAAAAAGAAACTATACTATCTGAAACTTCACAAGAAACTAAAGATCCTTTGGAATTCTATAAGAGAACACAAAAAGAGATTAAAAAAGTTAGAGCGAATACACGTGCTGATATTTCTAAAGTATCAACTTCTAATTTAAAAGTATAGAATTGATTTCTTCTTTATACTTATTATGTAAATTATTATAATATCTGATAAATTCTGAATTGGTTTGAACACTAGTAAATAGTACCTTTTCAAGTTTCTTTACATGAATGGTCATACTTTCACAATTCACGCATTTTTTTTTAAAGTTGAATTATCAAAATCTAGGCTAAAATCTGCAGGAGCATATCATTCCTCTAATGGTTCATTGTTATTCTCATCACTATCTGTCTCCTGTGAAATTTGATCAGATGTCAGAGACTTATCACCCTGAGTTGCAATAGTGTAATTTACTTCGAGCTTGTTCTTAACCTTGATCATAATTACAGGAATGATGTGATCTTTTCCATTAAAAGGAATTTTTAACTCATCTTTGTCCCAATCCATAACACATTTATATTTTTTAAGATGTGGATTTGGAAATAATAATATTGGTTTAGGAGTTTTTATAACTATATAATCTTCACGTATGGTAAAACCTAGAGAAAATGTTATTAGTAAATTCCGGATGATACTAATAGATTCTGTTAGAATGGTGGTAGCCTCACTGAGATCATATATTACTGATTTATCAATCTTTCTACCTACACATTTAATAATATCTTCTAATATAATTGCAGGTTCAGCTCCACTATTAATCACCATTGCTGAAATTTTAAGTACTTGATTTTAACTGGTATAGTTGCAATACTTATATTGGGTTCTTCCTTTTTTACAAAATCAATCTCCATAGGATCATCTAACATCTTCTCTTTCCTATCCAAATTGGGTATTTCTTGAACTGGTTCTCTATAATTTGTGAAATCAGATTTTTTGGTAGATGAATACATATTGGATGAGTTCTCAATTTTAACTTTGAGTTTTTCTATCTAATCTATAAGTACAATACCATTAAACATTTCTAATACAATCTTTTGGAGAGACTTATTAGCAGGGCTGGTACAGTTAATAATAGTCAATTTATTTTGGGATTTATCAGAAGTAGAAGGATTCTTCTGTTTCTTTTTGCGAGGTTTAGATTTCTTCTTAGAGGATGATTTAGTAGGGACACCCTTCTGCTTTACTTTTTTTTGCCTTGATAATATGAACTTTGACATCACTTTTAGACTCAGATTCAGAAAACAAATTCTTAGTATCAGATCCTGTCTCAGAATCAGATTCAGAATCATTACTGGAAGAATTATTAGTATCAGAATCTGAATCTATAGAAACCTTATTGATATTATCTTTCTTCTTGGACCCACTCTTAGATTTTCTTTTCCAAGTACACTTGCGAGAATTATATCTGGTCCTATTGCAATTTGAGCATCTGTGTTGGGATATTTTCTTAATCTTCTTCTTGATCTGTCTAGATATAGTCTTATTTATTAATAACTTACTCATATAATTAGCCAGTTCTTCATCTGAGTTGACTTCGATATTTTTTAATGCATTTTCTCCATTTTTTTTAGATAAGAAGGAAGAAAATTTATCAACTACTCCTTTAGTAATTATATCTATTAATGATTGTAAAGTAGATAGACCTGCTAAAGCACTAAGACAGTCTGTTGCATCATCCATTTGGACCTATTCTGGATCATTCAAGTGTAAAAGTGGATCTTGATATATTTTACCTGATTCCATTTGACTGGGTCATACCAACTATCTATTTTGCAATTGAGAAGCTGTCTGCAAAGAAACAGGTTGAGATTGTGAAGATGTCATAATACCTTTCACCAAATTTTCAATTTCTTCTTTGATTATACTTGTATTGTTTATTATATAAAGATCTTTTATATTAGCTGTAGATCGTGAATAAGAAGTGACTGGATGAGAATTGGGATCATACTGCCCTAACATCAATTTAGCTTTTTGTCTTTCAATTTATTCTAATTTTGATAATAAAGTGAAAATTGAATTTTCAAGATCAATACGTCTTACTTCTAATTTATTGTCAGGGGAAAGATCTTGAAAGAATTATTGTCTAATCATTTCTTCCTGATTTAATGCTGGAAGTGCTGGATAAGCAAGTATAACCATTCTTTTTAATTATGCATAAAATTGGCCTATAGGATCAGTTCCTTGAGTAATATTATTAAATATAACTTTTAATTTTTCAGCAGTAATTGTTGGATAATTTATTCTGAACTAGTATATTACTTGTCCAATACGAATATTAGGAGCAATAGTATTACCTCCTGCATTAGCATTGGGAGTATTGAGAGCTAAATCTGTTGATTGTCCACCAGCTATCAATCAATCTTCATCAAAAACAGTATGTGCTGGCACCAATAGTGTAGCAATTATATTATTGTCAGCTGGAACTGTATTTCTTATTTGAAGAGCTCCATCTCTAAACTGATTAATATTGATATTGCGCAATGCATTATTATTAGCTAATCCATTGATAGTATCAAGATCTGCAAGGCCCATATTGTCGCTAATATATTATAATTCCCAATTTTTATTCTTGAGATGAGTTTCATAAAAATCTTTTGCATCTTCTCTTAAACAAGTCTCAAAAAGTTTATGAATTCTTACTCTGATTTGAGCATTTGCTAGTGGATCAAGTCCAAATACTTCACAATATTGTTTAAAATCTCTAATCCATTCTTTAGGATCTTCTCCAGCTTTTCCGTAAAATAGGGGTGGTGCGTATCCTGCCATTTCTCTATATTGATTATTTATAGGTAAATTATTCTGAAGCGCAAATATTTGTTGATTTAAATTCAAAATTAATTGCTAGGAATTGCGCTTCCTATTTTTCCACTTGATATGACTTGTCTTTTGATCCTTGAATTTATTGTAATATCTATCAAAAATTTGATCTTGATTATATTCTAATAATCCTTTATCAGCCTGGCATTGTTGTAGCTCTTGTTCTAAGTGATGAATAAATGCCTTAAAAATAATTTTGAAAGCATATCTGAGTTTAAATTGCTCTTCTAATACCAAAGTAATATTATGTCACAAATACCCCTACATATCATATTTTTGTTGCAATTTTCTACCATATCTTTGGCACCTTCAGAGTTTAAAATTAAGTATAAATTTTTCAAGTAATAAAGTATTAATCTGTATTCGTATTCCTCTTTCAAATTACTGAGTGATCCCCCTCTATCTACAACATTCTGTTCGCTCATTATTATAAGCTATAGTCATTAAAGCAAGATTATTTTGAGAATTGTTATGCTCTAGTGTAAGTTGATTAATATGATTTTGCAAGGTATCTCATGCTTGAATAAGTTGATTAGTTTGATTCTGAAGATTAGCATTTTATTATCTATAGAAATTGACATCCTATTGTAACTGGACTATCTGATTATTGCTATCATCTCGTTGAGTGATAACATCATCTATATCCTGATATGCAGACTGATAATTATGCCAAACAGTATTTAAGGAGCCTTTAATATCTTCTATAATATTGATAGAATTATTTAATGGTGTACCATCTCTAAGATATTTTTCAATATGATACAAGCCTTGTTTGATTTGTATAAAAAGGTCAAGATTCACCATATCTATATCTTCCTCTTCTGAATTATATAAACTTGGAGAGCTTCTTCGAGAAGAAATAACTTTGAATCTATATCTTAGATTTTGAATCTGCTCTTCTGATTCTTGTAATTGCTTCTCTATATTATTAATATAGAATACCTTATCTTGGATTTCCTTTTTAGCTTGATATAAGCTTCTTTTAAGAAATAATATCTCCAATCTCAACTCAGCCTTTTCTTTCTCTGAAGCATTCTTGAGCCATTCCAGTTCTTTATTGAGAGATTGAATTTCATTCTCACATCTAGTATATTTACACTCTAGCTCATTTATGTATTTCTCATTTGATTTGTTGATGGCTATCTCTGATTGTAATATCTTCTGGAGTTCTTGATTAATTTGCTCTAGCTTGAGTTCTTTATCTGTAGCTGATCTATAAGTTATTTGATTAGAGGGTCGTGCTCTATGAAATGCCATGGTTATTATAAAGTAATAAGACTCTGCTCTATTTTTTACGATATATTATATTATCTTATCTCTTGACTTTGCTATAATAAGTAATATCAAAAATAAGTAGGCCTTTAGACCATGCTTTGCATAAATTAAGCACACCTATTATTAGAATCAATCTAAATGAGGAATTAAACTTAATATGTAAATTGCTTTTTTACCAGCCTACTGGCTACCATGCCAATTCTAGAAAATTATATAAAGATCTCAAGAAGGAAGGATATCAATTTCCATTCAAAAAAGTGTATAACTGGCTTATAAATCAGAATGAATGGCAAAAGTATGCTCTGTCACTGAAAGATACTCCATGGGTTAGTTATGGTAAAATTCAAAAACCAAATTGTGTACATCAATGTGATCTCTTATTTCTTACATATGATTACTATAAAGATAAAAAATGGAAAGCAGTATTATAAATTATAGATGTGAGTAGCAGATTCAAGGCAAGTGTTCCTCTAACATCAAAGAATAGTTTTGAAGTTATTAAAGCATTTAAGAAAATTTATGATAATCCCAATAACTCTTTTATATATCTGATACTTCTACAATGTGACAGTGATAAAGAATTCATAGATGAAACTGCTCGATTAATAGAAGCGTATAATATCATAATTTGAGTAATTGGTACTTATAGTCATCATGAATTAGCTCTTGTAGAACGATTCAATAAGACATTAGCAGAGATGCTTTATAAAATCTAATATGCTGTTGAATCAATATCTAAAAATCCTAAATTAATAAAAGAATAGGTCAAGTATTTGCCAGAAGTAATAGATTATCTTAATAATTATCCGACATATCTTATTTGAGCTCCAGG